GTAACTCTCCAATGCTTCAAGAAAAAAAAAAAAATCACTCTTGAATGTAAAAATAGAAAAGATATAAATAATCTTGATTTCAGTAGAGGTTTCATGGGATAACTGTCTTATTTCTTAAAGGATTTCAAGGAACCATGGTAATTCCCATAGCTACAGCTGACAGAAAATTTTGATGTACAGTGAGTCATGGAGCAGAGCACTGCACAACTGAAGAATAGTTACTCAATTTCGTGCAGAGCCCAACCCCTGCAGCAGAAGCCGACTGAAAAAAAACGTAAGTTCACAGAAACATTTCTTTTTTGGTTTGTGCATACACCCAGCTGCAGTGACCATTTTAATACCAAGACTTTATGTTTGACAAGAATATGTGCAACTCAGTTCATAGTCAAATGGAAGTTCCTGACATTCCCTGTCACAAACACTTCAGGACTCGCTGTTCCATGAGTGGAACTGGGGAAGCATGGAAGGACCGATGCATTAGGAATAGAAAACTTAGCAAGCAAAGATCCTCTTGCAGTAGGGCCTCACTAAACCACAAGCTATTCTAAAACATGTGTCCCATGTGAATTACACCAGCACACTTGCAACAACAGTACCTTGCACAGGAAACCTCAAACCGTAGTCTACACTGAGGCTTGTGAGGTGCTGTTCTTACTTTGCTACCGGTGTGCTTCGGGATTTCAGCAAGCCATTGAGGATTTCAGCAAGCCAACTTCTCTAAGTAATATTGCTAAGGACTTTCTCAATGAGGTAACAAACTGGTGATCGTTAAGATAGATGTGATTTGCCCTGGAAAATATCCTTTTTAAATATAGTATGCATCAGTTCCCCATACATAGTAGCAGTGTTATGCCTGTATAGCTATGTCAACAGAGTAAATGTTTTCCTTGAATAAAAATATCACAGGAAAATTTCTCCCTTTACAGACAATATCATACACAAGGGATTCCATAAAATGGCTAATAATCACTGCTAGCTATTTTTCTGGATAGGTTTCCCAAAATTAGGACTTTAACTAGAGTGCTTTTCACTGGCTGGTGGCAGCTACAGAACCAACAATTCGTGACCTAAATGCCGACCTGTTAGTTTCTTCTCCTCAGCTTTGTGTTCAGTTAAGGCAGCCTTAGAGCTTGTTCTCTGTGGCAAACAGCATCAAAGAAATGCAGAGTAACCATGAATCAAACCCTACTATTAAATAGGCAAAAATCGTGGAAGGCTTCCTGGTGTATGATCCATAAATCCACAGTTACACTCTGACACAAAGCCCACTCACAACATTTATTCATGATCTGTTCTCTTTGCTCTGCGACATCAGGGTGCGCTGGGGAGAGAAGTAGCACCCAGACAAATGATTCAGCATGCACCAATTCAAAAAAAAAGTAGTTTTCCCTATTTGATTCTTCACCAGTTGTCAGATTAACAACCTTCATTTTCCATCAAGCCAAGCACGGAGAGGACGTTTTTCTTAGGAAAGGACAAACCCTAAATTCCTTGAACACCCCAACGTGTTACCAGTCAGTAAGCAGTGACTGCCTTAGGTCTGTGCAAGGATTAGTTGCTCTGGAAGTGACTAGAAAGAGACTGAATGAGATTTCTGTTAGTAATGTCCCTGCTTTTTGAATCAGAAATAAATTCAATACCTTTAGAGATGGGTAAAGGAAATTCCCAAACATTGGGTTTGTATCCCAAATGAGATCCAGACTGGCAGAGTCGCTGCACTAATTCCAAAGGACAGATATCCAAGTTTCTGAGCACGTTCTCTTCAGCCCCAAAGCAAAGAACACAGAATAGCAACAGGGTGATGCTATATCATCTGTGAAGTTGCTCAGGCAAGAGGAGCAGACTGGAAGCAGCAGCCAAAATCCTCCTCAACACAAAGATCTCACTGAGCAGAGAGACAGAATGTTCCAGGCAATAAATTTATAAGGACTGTCACGAAATCAGCCTGGAAAGGGCAGAAGATTCCCAAAGAGGCATCCCAAGGTCAGATGCCAGTAAAGCAGAGGATTCTCTTCATGACACAACAGTGAAAGTGTTGAGGGGGATTTTAATTCTTTTTTAGCATGACAGAATTTCTATTATTTCCAGATACCTTAAAAACTTAAGCTTTATATGAAGCCAAATATCTAACAGTTATGTGCCAAAATTTAAATGCAAACTCTTAAAATAGTCAGAAATCTTCATATCATTGCCAAATTAAAATTTAAAAACAGAACAACCAGGCCAGAGAGCAATTTAAGCCAGTACATGCATGCTATTATATCCATATCTAACGAAATAAAACTTATTAGTATGCTACAAAACATGCAAAGGTAATTGTTAAGAATTTTTAAATGAATTTTATGGTGTTATCCAGGCTTACACACACCAAAGTGTAAATTCTGTTTGTGACATTAGTTCATGACTTTTAGATAAAATGCAGCACTTGGCATCATATTTTCTACAAGGAAAAGCTCATGTAGGCTACTTATTTTCCTTTTTCCATGTTATGTCTAAATGCTCCTTACCAAAACTATCAGCTTTTTCCTGCCTTTTTCCTTGCAACAATTGCTCTCTATATCTGTGAATTCATGTTTTTGAAAGAGTAGATGACAATATTTTATAAGAAAATCATAGAGGAACTGAAAGCAGACAACATCTATGCCTACTTGATGTTCCAGCACATTTTGAGCTAGACAGAGAGATGTTTGCCTTGAAGAAAAGTAATAGGATCCCTCATGGTAGCAAAAATATATAACCACAATTAGATTTCATTCTCTTTATCAAATATGTCAAATATAATAATATGGATATTTTATTTCTATTTGACACAAATGTTTAAAAAAAACCCAAAACAATGAGATAGTTCTCCCTCATTAAGGCACCATTCCATTTCCACAGAGGAAAGCTAATGTGATCAACCAAAACCAATCTAAATCCATGGCTGGCAGATTTGTTACAAGTTAATTCCCAGCTAACCTGAAACCAGCCCTATACAGTCAGCCTCACATATCGACACTAATGCTGAAAAAGTGAATACACCTCACTGCTCTTCCTATATTTATGTTATACAAATTGATGTCACAACCTGTATCTCAGATATCTCCTCTCATGAATTATTCCCCTTCATTAACTCCATATATTTCATCCTAAGCCACACAAGTCAGCAGAAGCAGCCTTACTGAAGCTTTATTGAATGATAGCACTTCCCAGTCTCTCTGTCATCACTCAGCCACTGCATCACTTAAGCTATATATATGAAATTTATAATGGTTTTCTTTAATGGTCAGATGGAGAAACAACAAACAGCACAAGCTACATGCTGTTACTCCCACATATTAAAGCTTTACATTTCCATGCTTTAGAACCCTGGATATCTCCTGAGGCAAGGATAAAATAATGTCTGCACAGGCTTTTAATTCTTTTCAGACCACAATCCCACCAATTCTTCAGCACTGTTCAAAAAGTTAGGTGAAAAGATATCTTGATTTTTAGTCTTGCATTCTAAAGGCAATTTCAGTGTCATATTTCTACATGAAAATATCCTCTCCCTAATCTCTTTCCTAGTACTGATGAAGGCTACTGTAAATAAGAGACTTCAAAAAAAATCAAATAAAAACCACTTTGCTGCTTTGGGTCTTTTGTGATGCTCCTGCTCCATGTGCCCTGTTGGACTCAGTACTTCATTTTCAAATACATAAAAGCATAGCAAAAATATACCAAAGTCATAAAAAACTACCACTAGATCTCAAGAGAGCACTTCGCTCTGTACCCAAATATTTATAACTAATCAAGCTGGGCTTCTATTACCCAAATTGCTGCCTCATCTCAGTCCCAAATGATTTGCTTATAACTAGGTGTCAGCAAAGCTGTGTGAAACCCCAAGGAACTCAATGTTCTGTTACTTACACCAGTTTCTGTGGCTCACTAAAACTCTTTTTCTAGGTTCTTGCCATGCCTTTCTATATTTGCCCTAAGATTCAGTTTTCTTACTATTAACATCCACTGGAGATCTGTTGGAAAGCCAGATAGAAATTATTTATTTAAACCAACAAAAACTTTGTATGGACATTAAGATGTAATTTAAGGCTTTCTTTTAGATATCACAAACACCATCATAATTTGAAACTAGGATCGGTATTCTAAATTTAAGGTACTTATTAGGGCAACTGTGTTCTGTTTATTACCATCTTTGTTCTAAAAACTCCAAGAATAATTAGGGTGTGCTGTCACTGCCTAGATGTGGACCAAATAAAGGCTGGTCAAAATTTCCTATCTCCTCCCTGAGGAGGTCATGAAGTTTTCATAGAAGCATCAAAGCTGGAAGAGACCTTCAAGATCATCCCACACCAGGCGCCTCTTGAAGACATAGCAGAATTTATTTTAAAAAGCCAACCAACCAAAAAACCCAAACCCAACCAACCAAAAAGAGTAACAGACTTTTGACAGGCATTCAAAAGGCCGTGCTGGGTTTTTCCCCTAAATGAAGAGACAGATTTGGGAGGGCTTGGTTTTATTTAAAACAAGGAACAGGGCCGGGGTGAGGCGCGTGTGTCTGAGGGACCTGGGGGAATCACAGGTGACTCCCGGGACAGCACAGGGAATTTCCGGGACAACACAGGGCATTCCCAGGACAGCACCGGGCACTCCCGGGATAGCACAGGGCATTCCCGAGCCCCAGCTGCGGCCCCGGCCCGCTCAGTGCCCACCTCCCTCAGCCGCGCCCCCGCCGCACTGCGGCCCGGCGGAGGCTGCAGCGGGCCGCGGCCCTCAGCTCACCGGCCGCCGCCGGGCGTGTTCACTCAGCTCCGGCCCCGGCCCCGCCGCCCGTGTCGATAAACACCGGGAAGCGCCGGTAAACCCTGTGAAGCGCCGGTAAACCCTGTGAAGCGCCGGTAAACCCTGTGAGGCGCCGGGCACCACGGGCCCGGGCCGCGGCCTCCGCGCCGCCAGGTGTCGCTGTCCAGGCCGCCGGGCGGAAGCGCCGCCCCGCTCCCCGCGGCTCTGTGGTGAGGGGCCGTTCATGGCCGCCGCCCGCCGGGCAGCGCGCAGGGACGGAGCTCAGGGCCAGGGTTCGGCACGGCGGGACACAGCGCACACGGCGGGACAGACACCGCGGGGAGGTACCGGCACGGCGGGACACAGCCCGCGGGGAGGTACCGGGGCGGCCCTGAGGGCCCACGTCCGGCAGCGGAGGAGCTGGGCCTTTCTTTCTCGGGGCCGTTTCAGGCCAGCGCTGCCCGTGTGAGGCGCGTTCCTCCCTGCCAGGGCTCCCCTCATCGAGGCTTTCCTCCGGACTCTGGCGTCTGGGACGGTGAGCGCTGCTTAACCATTGCTCAGGTGCACGTACAAACCTTGGGGTTTGGGGTTTCAAGCGCTTTCCTCTTTCCACCAAGGAGAGTTCACAGGAAAAGCAGCCGTGTGCTCGTCCTAAGAGGAGAAAAGAAACGCCTTGAAGCTTCCACCAATAATTCCTGCGAATTAAGTGGATGAGATCCCTAAGTTGCGTCAGGAGTTGTGTCATTGAACAAATTGAGGTGACAGAGCTGTTGTGCTCTTCTGCAGTTTAATACAGGGAATATCACATAGCATAGTCAGCGGTCAAAACAGATGCCTGACAGGGATAGCATTGTAATAACTATTTGTTTTTGTTTTTTTCCATACAAAACAAATTTGGTTTCTCAATAAGCACATCTTCGAAGAGTCCTGACTTAAAATCAATCTGCAAATTTTGAAAATTTCGACCATCACTTGTATATTGCCCTAGTGTTTTTCAGCCATACACAAATCCCACTTTCCACAGCAGGAATCGGTCAAAAATGCGTGTTAGCACCTGAAGCAGGCTTGATGCAGAGCCTGTAACAGACTTCTTTGGGTAAAGTTATTTGGTATTGCCTAAATTGCTGTTAAAATGTTAACTCAGCTGCAGTGAACTTCGATCATTAACAGTTCCAGTTACCTTGGCTTGAAACACAAACTTTGTGCAGCTAATAAAAAAAGATTGTCATTTAGAGCTGGTTCACTAGGATGGTGAAGTTTGATAGGTGGTCTTTTAAAAAAAATTAAAAAATCATTCAAAGTCAGTACTGAAGTAAAAGTGCAAAAATAGGCAAAGGCAGTGGAACTTTTGTGTAGTAGAACTTAGCACAGTCAGTGCTCAGCAGACACTGAAAATAAGAATTTTTTTAAATTTCATTGACATCTACCCTTCTTATGTTTATTATTATTCAGTGCAGATCTGAAAAGCACAAAACTTCAGGAGTTAACTTAGCCTACAGAAATTTGAGTGAAGAGTTCAGTTGGCCTAGCAACTAGGTCTAGCCCTAAAAATACAGGATTTAGGTTTTGATCTGAGAAATCAGTGTTAAGTATTAGAATATTTAAGTCTTTGTATTTTCAGATCACTTGCAAAAAGACAGAACTGAGTTTGCATGGTTTTCAGAGCGAAACTCGCACATTCTTTTCTGCAAACTGAAGCTTTAAAGCATTTTATGTAGTGCCTCTACATTCAGGACTCTTTGTGCTTCTGTTTTTCTTACATTAATTTAAATGTGAAGGTTGTAGCATTCCTAACAATAGGCTGAGAAAACTTGGTTTAAAATGGTCCTTCAGTTAGAACCAGTTGTGTCTGGAATCAGATACAAAATTACATTTTCAGACAAGTTTACTGGCCCTCTCAGGTTATTTATATTTGCATCAGTTAAATCGCTAGAAAATATCATGTCCGATGCAAGACCTTTCTGTGCATACAGTTTAACGTATGGAAATGTGTAGTTGCTTCAGGTATAAACATCTGCTTCGGAAAAACTGAAGTATTGCACTCCAGAGCATTTCTGCTGCAAAAATGCTCCAATCAGTGGCTTTTCAGATTAATTCTAAAAATCTTGTTGCCTTATTATTCTCTTTTAAGCTCTTGCACTGCCATGTTCATATTTCTATATATTGGCTAAACTTACACATTTCATGTCATTAGATTGTGTATGGTGCTGTTTGGTTTGATTTTATTGAAAGTAGAATCCCAGACTCTTTAGCACTGGACAGGTGGTAGATACTTTTATTGATTAAAAGGCTGTATTACCCTGTTCAGTGGTTAGAACAAATAAATGTGTGTTGTAATTTAACCCCAGCTGGCAGCAAAGCACCACACAGTCATTCACTCATCCCCCTCACTGCAGGGAGGATCAGAAAGAGAAAGGTGAGAAAGCTGGGGCTGAAACAGCTTAATAATGAAAAAATGTTTTTAAAAATATTGTAAGGAAAATTAAAAAGAAAAAAAAAAAGAGCAGAAAGTAAAAGCCAAGAAAAAACCAAGCAGTGCAAGTGAAAACAATCGCTCAGCACCAGCTGATCAATGCTCAGCCATTCCCAGCAACCCCTCCCCACCAGCCTCCACTTCACTGCCCAGCATGAGGCCCTGTGCTCTAGAATATCTTTCGGGTCCCTTGGGGTCAGCTGTCCTGGCTCCTTCCCTTCCCAACTTCTTGTGTACTCCCAGCCCCACTCTGGCAGGGTGAGAGGCAGAAAAGGCTGGGATGCTGTGTGAGCCCTACTGAAACATCAGCATCACTGTTTTGGTCACAAACCCAAAACACAGCCCCACACCAGCTACTGTGCAGAGTTTAACTCTATCCCAGACACAACCATACACTCCTTTTCCAGTTTTCTGGGGTTTGCCCTTGCAGAACAGGGTGTAGGTGAACATAAACATCCCAGTTAAGCTACAGTCATTGTAATTAAGGTTCTTGGAGGATTTGAGAGGAAGTGATTCCTTTCTTTTGGTAGAAGTTTGTTTTTTATGTTGCAGTGGAAAGTAGAACAAGATGGGCTCAGGCTCTGGTGTGTTTGGACCAGCACTGGGCTAGCAACAAACTTCAGCCAAGGTGTGAGACCAGTGTGCAGTGGCTCACTTGGCATTTGGTAATTTAATTTGGCATTAGTATATAACTTTGATATCTGCCCAACAGGGGGCTGCACACAAAGGGCGTGTGACCCCAAAACTGCACCTATCTGGAACTGCCAGCCTTCTTGCATACACCAGACTGGTTCTTGGAAAGGCTCAGGTTGATCCAGGGTGTTGACCTGCACCTGATGTACATGGGAGAAATGTGCAAAGAGTGCTGCTGGATGAGAGTTGCAGACTGACATCAGCCAGCCTGTGCAGCCTGCCTTCTGCAGCTTTTTTTTCCCCCTTAGAATCTCCTTGGAAGCAGGACAGGTGAATTGTTTAGGCATCAGCACTCCATTGCTGTGGGCAGTTGGGTCTTGACTAGAAGGGATTGTCCCAAGAGAGGTTCCCAGGAAAACCAATGACCAGAGCAGGCTGCTTTGTGAACAATTCATCCACCTCCTACCTTGCTCCCAGATTGCTTTTGGGAAAGTAATGCTATTAAATATTTTGAATAGATACTTGCTTTAGGGAAAAAACAAAGCCTCTGAAAGGAATCAAAGATGCATGGTTTATTCCAGAATAAATTTAGTATCTTTTTAGTTTTACCTGGACTAGAAGGCTATAATTTATTTACTTAAGTCCAATATGTCTTACGGATAAAAGTTTGCACTGCAAATCTGATTGATTTTAATGCTTTCTCTAGAGTGATCTTTACAGAAGCTCCTAAAGGCTTCAAAGAATTCATACTAGGCAAAATAAATGAAAAAAATTGTTCTGATAAAGTGAAATGGATCCTTGTTCAGTTGGAGTCCAGCTTCAAGCTACCAATGAATGCCACAAGACCTATTACACCCGTCACACTGGCTTCAAGACTAAACAAGATGTATCTTCATCAGACCTCCTGCTGCTTCAGCTTAGGACTGGAATAACCCTCTCAGAGAACAACACAATCTGCTTCCACCATGCAAAAATTTACATTGAAAGATTTGAAGACTTACAAAAATCCTGTTGTGATCCCTTTAACATACACAGGAAACTATCAAAGAAAAACTTGCGAGCAATTGACTTAGATGATGCAGCTTTTCTGAGTGCCAAGTTTGGAAGACAGTTTGTTCCTGGTTGGAAGCTTTGTCCCAAATGCATGCAGATAATAAATGGAAGTGTGGATGTGGAACCTGAGGAGCGACAAAGAAGAAAACTGGATCCAGATGTATGTATATAGATCAGTTTTCTCATCCCCACTGTACTCTGCAAGCTATTGGAGTTCCTATAACTACCAAATAAATAAATTAAATTTTTCTCTCCTAGAAACAAGAAAGGATGTAGTCTTTTAGATGGGCAAGAGTTTACTGTATTTAAACCTTTATTTGGAGAACCTTAAAAATATTCTTCTCAAGTAATATGACCTCTAAGTTTTGAAAGTTGTGTCTACTAGGGTGACTGACTCACAAATTCATGTAAATACCAGACTGCTGTTGGTATTTTAAGATGTTATTCAAGCCTTGAAAACAGCAAACTCCTGTGCTCGAAACTTAACACTGCAAAAGTTGCTTCTAAAGATGTCTCTTCAGTTAAAAACAAAAAGAAAAAAAAGAGTTCTTGCAGTTCATTATGAAATGAGCCTTCACTGAGGTGAATTAAGTGTACTCTTGTTGTGGTGTCTGGGCTGTGAAGGCCGTGGCATTTGGTCAGGGGCAGTGATGAACTGGTGTGGGAGGACAGTTTTCCACGTGCTGAGCTTGGAATGTGGCTGGTGCTTTGTTGGGTGCATTGTTCAGGCTGTGAACAAGGGAATCTGTGCAAGAGCTTGTCTGTATGCACCCTGTGCAAAGAGGAGTTGCGTTCTAGGGGCTGCTCCCCAGCTGTATTTTTCAGTTCTATGTCAGTATGATTAGCAGGCTGATAGCAGGATGATTTGAAAGCATTGGTTAAACTGCTACCACAAACATTGTGTTGCTGGGGTCAGAGACAGGTATAGTTCTCCAGCATAAAGATTTTAAGACTTGTTTCTCCTGGGAAATTAAAGAATTAAGAGTTGTATTTATAATTGACATTTTCTCTTTTTTCAGGGGCGTACAGCTAAGGCTTTAAAGTCTCTCCAGTTTGCTAACCCAGGACGACAGACAGAATTCACTCCAGAGACCAGTAAAAGGGAAAAAAGAAGGCTGCAAACAAAAATCTCACTGTTTAATTCAGACAGGTAATTTGTTGTATTTACATAAACTTTAATTTGAAAATAAAATAGCCTTGATGGTCAGCCTGTAACATTATCTGTGTGGACGTTTGTGTGTGTATGGATTCGGTTCCTGGTTTTTAGGGATGTTGAAGATCACTCTTATAACTGAGATAAATAAAAGAGAAGATAATACATTAGCTTACAGTTCATATTTCAGGCAAACAGAAAAAGGTATTTGTGGGGCACAATGCTACACAGACCATAGATGTAGCTATGAATACATGCATAAACTAAAATTCTGATAATAAGACAAATTTTAATACAGTAAGATCTAGTAGGCTACACTTCAAATATTGGTTATCATCTTTCTGTAAACTAAGTAGTTTTACACTTGGTAAACAAAAGTGTGCAAGTTAGAACCTTCCCTTCCTTTTGATAAAGTTAATATCCAAACTGGATATTACTGGATAACAAGTTACAACCTTCTAATGTGACTGATGTCGCATTAATGCATTGCCTCTGCTCTCCACCTAAACTGTATCAGACAGAGACAGAAACTGAATGTACTGCTCACCAGCTACACATCCTTCCCTCTCCCTCCGTTTCTTTTGCTTAGTTTGGGCACAGAGTGGAGATACAATTAGGACTGAAAAATGTTATCAAATACAGTGAGATATGTATATCTTGGAAATTAACAGTGTTAACGTGAACACCTGAAGAAAGCAAACCTCCCCCCACAAATATCAGCAACTTGACAGCAAAATACCAAACGGATTTTAACACAGGAAATAACTTAATTGTTTTTCATTGCACAGGCAAGTTATACCAGCCAAGAGTAAAGTGTACGACAGCCAGGGCCTGCTGCTGTACAGTGGGATGGACCTGTGTGACTGCCTGGATGAGGATTGCCTGGGCTGCTTCTACGCCTGCCCCAAGTGCGGCTCCAACAAGTGCGGCACGGAATGTCGCTGTGACCGCAAGTGGCTCTACGAGCAGATCGAGATCGAGGGAGGAGAGATCATTAGAAACAAGCACGTTGGGTAGTGTGTGTGTGAATTGTTGAATCCTGACTGCCCCTGTGTTGGTTAAACACAGCACATTCAGCTTTTAGCTGTTTAATGGAAGCTGTTGGGATTTGTCACGATCCACGTGATGAATGCGCTCACTTTCACAGTGATTTTCAGTGTGATTATGATCACTTGAGTCTGCATTGTACTCAGGCTTCTTAGTCATCCAGGTAAGATCTCACTTGTATTCAGGTGTGTTGAATTCAACACACAATATTCAGTAACATAAGGTGCTAAATTCTAATGTGATCTATCCTGAGTCACTCACTATTCTTTCATACATTATTTCATAGAATGTACCATTTATAGAATGTACCATTTCACACCATTTGTGTGAAATGCTGTGAAAGTTCTCAAGGCATTTACATGCAGTATTAATGAAGTTCTCTTTTTAATATTAATAGTGAATACTGCATCTTCTATAGAGTATTGAAGCTACATCTGACAAATCCAATCCTATTCACTTAAAAGGGAGTCAAAAGCATTTAGTTGTTGAGATCGCATCCCAGTTGCTGGGATTTGAGATCAAGTTATCCTTATAACTTCTTAAGGATATGAATTTATATTAATTCATATTAATTAATTTAATATTAATTCATATTAAAATACTGAAATTAACCTGTCAAGGCATTGACAGGTTAAAGTATTGTTCATTACTTTGTTGGTTTCTGTAGAACAAAATTAAAATAATTTTGCTCTGTTACCAGTCTGTAATTGGGCTGAACCAGTACTTCAGCAGCCCTTTCCCTGCTTTTTCCTCTTTTTACTGATTTTAAAGGTTTATATGCAGCTAAAATGAACTTGTGTGTCTGTTTCCAAACCAAGGTTGTCTAGACTGTTACCAAAAACCCCAGATGAATGGGGTTTCTTTGGTTGGTACATTATCTTTCCTCATAATACTAAACTTCTACACTATAACAAAGCTTATTGAAAGTATTTTATAAACAAAGTCTTAGTAACATTTTTAGTCTTTGTGTTTTTGTTGTGTTTTGTATAAATTTCCTGTTTGATGACTCGGAAGATCTGCATGTTTGTTGGATCACACTTTTTCAATAATTCTGTTAACTTCTTGCAGACTTACTTGGTAAAGTTGTATAATCTTTCTTTGTGCTTTTTTTCTGTTCTGGTAAGTGTCATGAATGTTGCATTGCCAAAATCCAAAGTTATGCTTTGAGTTTATGCTGACATCTGCTGGTCCTCCTGGAGTATAAGCACGGAGATGCTACATTTTTATTAAATCTGTTATAAAAAATAATGAGACTCTTGTGTTTTTTGGTCAGAGCATTGGCAGTTGCAGTGGATGTGTCTCACTGTTTCATCTCTTAAGCAGTCTTTTGAGTTAGGTGAAAATACAAGCAGGTAACTTCCATGAGAGTGAGAGGGGAAAATCTGGTTGAGTAACCATTTATGTGTGTTTATTATTTGTTTTAATTAGACCAGAGTTGGTAGTACCCACTGTTAATAAACTTAACAGGCTTCCATGTGTGTGATGAGTGTAACCACTTCAGGTCCACAGCCAGATTTTGGATTCAGTAACTACCAGTAACTTAAGTTGCCTGGAGCATCTCATTATTAGAACTGTATTTGTCTATCTCCATTAAATCTTTGCAAATTTAGTACATTCAGCCTCTCATTTTACAGATGCATTAGCAGGTGATTACTTTCCCAAATAAAACATTTGTTTCCTAACAATGCACAGGACTGCTGTTTGACTAAAATCCTGCATCAAGTAGTGGGTACTGTCCCTAAGGACTCTTAGGGTGTAGGTTTTTCTCTGGTAAAAAAAATATGTTTTGGTGTTGGCTGTTCACAATGTCCTCCTAACATATTTAGGACATTTCCATTTAGCTGCATTTCCTTAACATGCCTAGGCTGTAGTGTGTTACTAAGTTCAGTAGCACGTTTTTATACAGTTCCATTTGTTCCACAATAATTTTTCTCTTAGAAGACATTGCTACCAGTCAAACTTTACCCTTACAGCATGAATTTCTCTGTTTTTATAAACACCACACTATCTATTTTGCTGTCATCTAAACTGAGTGCATGTGACTCCCAGCCACACAGGTACTTCCAGCTAAGCCTGTTAAACAGGACATTATTTTAGAGCCAAAGGAAACAACTACTTCCCATTAAATCCAAAATACATAATTAAATTCATAACCACTTTTAAGCTCTGCATGCATTGAAGCCAACTGCAGGTGTACCTCAGTGGCTGTATTAAAACTTCCCTTTTGGCATTAATTGCAAAAATTTATGCCTTGGCAAAGTTTACATATTCAAGAGACAAAAATCAATGGCAATAAAAGACTCTGGTTTATGAAGAATACATATCCCATGAATCATGTTGAGTTTATTGAACAGAAGCTCCTTGGTCTCGTAAGAAACCAAGCCAGTCCTTTACACTCTTTCTCACACAGAGCAGACTTCACTTCAAGTTTAGAACATGGTCAAATTTAACATTTTCAAAAGTCAGTGAGGGTTCTTCTGTTTACCCTGTGGATACTGCCACACAACCCTGTGGTCAAACCAGAGACAGGATATGCCCTTTTCTGAAGCTGAAAGTTTAAAACTATTTAAGTATCCCTTGGGATTATTTGTGTTAAATACTCAAATAACAGGATAGTGCAGTCAGGTAATTAACTCAGAGAAGGTTTGCATTATTTTTTTCAGCATTAAGTTACAAAAAGACATTTATCTTTGGAAATATGTTATGACCTTATCTTTAGACATAGTATGAATTTGGGATTTTTTGATAAATTGCATTCATTACTTCAGTAAATATCATAAGACAACTTCTAACTTCTGAATCTCTTACCATTCAAGACATCCGAAAGAACTGGAGGTGGGCAGACCTACACAAAAATTGTAGTTTTGTAAACCCAGAAGTCAGAATTAGAACTTCTAAGGGAAAAGAAAAACAGTTAAGGTGACAAATTTGTACCTATTTTAGTTCTGTTTTAATGTTCCTTTTAGCCTTTTTCTCATAGGCATTACTCATATTAGCCAGAATGGAGCAATAGACACTGCACAAACGCTCTCATGGAGTGACAGAGCTCCAGAGAGGTTAAGTGGACATTTGTCACTTGGTGTGTGACAGAAACAGCTACAGTGAGCTGCAGTCAGCATCAAGGCCTTAAGAGTTCTCAGTCTCCACAAAACACAAACACACAATTTCCAGTTTTCCCCTAAAATCAGAATTACTTTTGTCATATTTGTGTCTCAATAAATGCAGCATTTCCCGACTGATCTCTCAGTGGAATTTAGGATGTGCTGACATAAGGTAGCTTGTCCCTCATGATCCAGGTCTTTTTCCCCAGTAACTCCAGCAAACATTCTGAAATATTTGTTCCTCTTTATACTGATTTCTAACCACACTAATCTGACTTTATTTAAAGGCCCCTTTAAATTTAAATTTCAGACACTTCTCTCCAGCTTCAAATTATACATTGTTTTAAATCCAGCTGATAGTAGAGGAACAGTTTATTGAAATTAACATGTTCAAAGATCATTAATTACAATTAATAAAATCCAATATAAATAATATAAATAATATTATTTAAATAGAAATAATATTTTAATATTACTATAAATATATTTATTTATATATTTATTATATAATACAAATATATTTTATATAATATAAATATACAAATATATAAATATAAATATATATTAAATATATAAATATATATTTAAATATATAAATATATATTTAAATATATATAAATATATATATTATAAATACATTTATTAATTTATTTAGGTATATTTTTATTATTATTATTATTGTTATTGTTGTTGTTATTGTTACTATAAATATAAATAATAATATAAATCTAATATTCACCAATGTGGAAGCCAGAACCAGAACCACTGTTTCTCATTCACTGCAATTAGATTTCAAATCATCAGCTGTCCTCCAACATGCATTAAAAAATATTGTAGGGAAGTGTGTGTAAGCCCTTGCCATTAAACTGTCCAGTTCACTCTCTGGAGGAGTTTTGTGCCATTATCCTGCTCTGAAACAGGGAATTTACGTGTCTCGAGTCCCTCATACCCAGCAGAGGGCATCAGCTTACTGCAAACCTGTCCACGAGTTCCATGCTGCAGCTCCAAGAGATTCATCCCCAGACCTGGGGGATTCCTCGATGAGGGATTCATTGACACATGCAGAAATGGAGCACAGGACAAGAGAAGTGTTACCCACAGCCATGAGGTTGCAATACAGCTGACTCAGGTACAAGAGTTAAGAGAAATCAATTTTCTTTTTGGCTTTATAAGAGCTTTGCACCCAATCCCCAACACCTCAATGATTGCTAGTTGTTTAAGAGGAGAGCAACACATTTTTATAGATACATTTGCATTTTACATTTCACTGTGGTTTAGGTCTCCTGCCTGAACATTGCCTTAGAAATGCAGTTTTGGGTAGCCAAGAAGGTGCTCAGCAGGGCCCTGCACTCATTGCCAAATGGAAAACTTTCAGACGTGCACAGTGGAGCTTCTGCCAGTGGCACAGAGCCACACGTGTCCTCCTTTGCAGACAAACTGGGAAATATTCGAACAGCATTTGACCAGAGTAGCTACAGCAGGAGCCAGAAGCAGCCTAGCCTAAGGTGCTGGGCTGGGGAAAAGTCAAGAGAGACAGGCAGTTTCCCTGGTTCTCCTACCATAACATAAATTGTGAAAAATTTGGCCTGATTATCTTCTTCCATCAGCTTCCTTCGGTAGCCCTTCGCATGTACTCGGCAGCAGATTAAATCTGGATCACACACTGACTTGCCTTCCTAAACTCTAGTTAGGACAGTATTAACTTGTGTCATAAGCTCAGTTCTCCATCTCACCCACAGATGTCAGCAGTACCTACTACAACCTCCCGAGAGTGGGTCCATGCCGAGCTCCAGCCTGCAACCAGAAGTAAAAGCAATTCTCTTCTATCATCCTCTGAATTTTCTGCTTGTTGTTCTTCCATTTTTTTCTGCATTTTAACTGATACCTCTACCTGTTTTTAAATTGATTGTTTTAGCTGCTGAATTAGTACCATGAAGTAGACAACATTAACATATTAAAAAGAATTTATATATATATAAACATGTATACACCAGCATGCACCAGCTGTGCAACCTGGGCAAGCTGGTTACCAGGACACTCAAAACTTAAATTCTCAAAGAGAAATCACTGGGAATTCAAAGATCCTACTTCATTCACAGCTTTTAAGGGCTCACAGGTCATCTGAGAAACCTTTTAACATAACTGCTTAAAGGCAAGAAAATTAGATTTTACCAAATTTCAGTAATGTAAGTTTTCTTAATTGACTATTTCTTTTTCTAGTTAATCCTGCATTAGATTACCTTATAATCCAGTCGAGAATGAGTTTTCTTCTCACTTCCTGTATTTTCTATTGTAAGTTTGTAGCACACAAAAAAAACCCCACAAACAACCAAAAACTCCACCATCAAGCCTCCAAGCTGCTCCTTTCCTTCTGTTTTATAACATGGTAATGCTCTCTCAGCTGGCTTGATTGTCAGTTTTCAATCAGATGGGCTGGATCTTGACAGTTGACTTCAATGCTCCTGGAACTTCTCTCTTGACAACCATCTCTTTTTAGTAGTCATTATAATTAGAGTGATTATATTTTGGCTTGGTTTTCATTTGTTATCTTTGTGCTGCTTCCTGGGAGTTTCAGTTCAATCTCGAAGAAAAGAGGAAAATCAGAGATATTTCTCTGTTATATACACTTGTGCAGGATGCCAAACCTCCAGCAGGCTCCTTAAATTGTACAGGCTCCTCATATCTGCACGGAGGGAGCCCCAAATCTCAGCTGCACTGTTCCATGTCTCAGCAGTGAGCTCCTACTAACAGTCCTGGTGACTTGAGTGAAATTGCTTAGAGCACTGAGGAGGCCAAGCAAAGAGGTGAGTTCTGCCCAGGTGAAATGTGTCAGGATAAAATGCTGAGACTGACAGAACTGTTTGGACAAAGACACCATTCACCCTCGCTGGTTATGTGTGGAACAGGAGGAGAGGTGGTGCCCAAGATCTTATGATCCTAAGAAGCCACTGTTGAAAGCAGCTACAAAGTGTACAGTGTACACCTAAAATAAAATCGCCTTCTGTTGTGGGATTCCCAAAATAAAATGCTGGGTAACCTTTACAGGATTGTTCCCTAAAGATCCAGAGAAGCCTGAAGTGCCTATGATGTGTTATGTGCCAAATGCCTGGATCTGATCTTCAATACTTACGTTTCCCTT